AGCTTCCGCGTTGAAAGGTTTCAGGGCTACATAAATACGCAGCAAAAGGAGGAGCAGCCACACACTGGGACGAATAGAAAAGCCAGTGTAAATAAGCATCTGAGGAAAAAGAGATTAAATATCTGTAATTTAAAAGGCTATGGCCCCACTCAGCAACCTCCTCTGGGAGGGAGGGAGGGAGGGAGGGAGATAGATAGTTACTTCCTGGTAATGCCACTATATCCAGTTGCCCAACTAGGCTGCCTCTTTTAATTCCAACTAAAATGCCTGGATACCCATCCCCTCTTACACACACACACACGGTTTTGCACCAAGAAGGCTGTAGGCCAATGTTTCTCAACCTTGGCCAATTCTGGGAGTTGAAGTCCACACATCTTAAAGTGGCCAAGGTTGAGAAACACTGCTGTAGGCAGTTACATCTCTGCAGCCCCTTCAGAAAGAGAGAGAGAAACACGTGCACAGAAAGAGAGAAAGTCCCGAGTTATGACAGCCCTCCATTCTGCCTCGGATGGGACCGCGGGGCTGGAGCCCATCGGCCGGCTAGAGGAGCCTCCTCTCCGCCCAGACGTCCAGCGGGCGGCAACTCCTGCCCCTGCCTCGGTCCCCTGGCCCAGACCCGGCGGGGCTGCCCCACGAACTGCAGGGGTCCCCCACGCTCCTCCGCGGCGTTTCTCGCTTCTGCGGGAGGCACCTGTGAGCATAGAGCTAGGAAAAGCCGAGAGGAGCGTGCGGCTTTCGCATCACGTTAGGCCACTGACGTTCCTCAAAGGGGGGGGGAGGCAAATGCCGCGGCTTAGCAAGCGGGGGAGGAGGGACGTCGGCCACCTTTTGCACCGTTCCGCGCGATGCCTCCCTGGTGCAACGATGCGCACGTGCAGGCGATCCCGCGCTGGCTTCATAGCGCTCAGGGAGGCTGACTCCCCGGGAAGGGGGCGAAGCAGCTTTTTATTGCAAATGTTCAATAGGAGCAGCTCCCATGATGCGCAGCCAAGAGGGCCTGGGGACGGGCAACTAATGTAACATTCTAGATATATTTATATATAAATATATGCACGCGCACACACCCCGTCCTTTGATGGACAGGATATCCCCGCTGAAGTTACACCGAAAGCCGATTTGGCCGTAACTACGGGGAGAGGAGCGACGTCTTCCACTGCTTTGGGGTTTGGGGGGAAAGGAGCGTTTTAGCCGTTGAGCCGCGAGAACCCGGGTCGGAGAACGAAGAGGGTTTAACTCGAAACGCGGAGTTTTTGCACCTGAGGGGAGCCAACGTGCACGTTTGCCATCTATTCCCGCAGCCCGTCTTCGAATCCACAGGCCGAGGTGGTTTAAACCCACGTTTGTTCTTTCCCCGTAATTTGCAACTGAAAAAAAAAAACTTTATCGAAAAATGATTGAAACTCGAAAACGCTGCGGACGGCTCGGATAGTTCCTCCAAAGACCCTCCAAGTTGCCATTTTTCAGCATTCCCGACTCGGTCCCAAACCGCAAACTTTTCCTCCCTCGCCCGCAAATTCCCCCAATCTGGGAATTCTCCTTCCCCAACCGGGTGCCCTCCAGATGCGTTGAACTGCAACTCCCAGGGGCAGATGGGAGCTGGGATGCAACCGCTCTGGGGGGAAAATAGCTTAAAAGACAGAGAACAATCCAGCCC